GACACCTGTCTCAAGATTAAATAAAGAATTAGAATACAAACGAGATTTCCAAATGACGAGTCCAAATTCTGAAAGAAGCTGTAGTTCTCCTCATTACGTTCAAGGCTAGATTGGTTTTTAGTGCAATTCATTTCTTTTCTGGTTCTAATGGCTTGAAGGGGAAAAAGGAAAAACATCTTCCATATCAACTTTCATATCCTCTATCACAGAGGGGGCAGGGGAGTTCATAAAACGGGATTGCCATGTCTCTGCTGATTTTTAGATGGTACATTAGGAGTTGTAAGCAAGTAGTATACTTGCTAGAACTGTCTGCTTAATTTAAAACAGGGCAGACTACAGTCATGGTGCTGCAAGTGGAACCCTTGTGGCATTCCCAGTCTAGTCCATTTTTTTAACTGTAATTGAGAATACAGCAGTTCCAGGGCTGTCCGGAAGCCAAGTATCCCAGAAAGTACTCCTAAGCCCAAGCCTTGATGCTGAGTTACCCCAGAAAACCCTGTTCACTTCAGTAGGATTACCAGGTGCTCAGAACTTGACATGATCAAGACCTAGGCTTTACCTATTAGAGCTATGTTTTAATAAAAAATTCGTGATTGAAGCCCTACTTCTCAAAGTGAAAAGAGAATGGTGGTCCTAATAGAAGCATTAAAGTTCCTAGAACTTACTGAGGGTGATCAATTGTTTTAAACAGATTTGACATCATGAAGACTGAATTATACTATGTCCCTTAATATTTTGCTGCCACAAAAATCTGCATGTCACCATTTTAAGGGCGCAATTCAATTAGAATGATGTTCTTGACGAATCACTTAAGTCTACCAATGTATTTTTAGTGATGTAGAGCGTGAGACTAATAGTTAATAATAATACTCCTGTTCTTTGTAGTGCCAAAGGGCCAACCAAGAATGGAGGCTTATTCTGTTAAGCACTGTACAGACACAGAGTAGCACATAGTCTGTGGACCCAAAGACCCTAACATCTAAACAGACACAAGCAGGAAAAAGGTCATCACACAGAGTGAACAAGTGAAATGGCAGCAAATGCCAATTTTGTTTGTACAGGCTTGGGGCTTAGTTAAGGGGGGCACGCTAAATGGAAAAAAGAGTGAAGGGGGGCACTAAAGGGAAGAGGGAGTTCTGAGTCACAGACAATGAAGAAAAGGCTGAGAGGAGCATGATTGGAGTGAGACCACGATTAATAGGCTCTCAAGGGGTGCAGAGTAGGCACAAGGTAGAGCAAACAGCCAATCAGAACAGGACAGAGAAAGTTCAATCAGAACTGTAGACAGTAGAATATACTATACAAGACATATGTCCTAAAATAAGTAAAGATTAAATTTATACTTTAATATTTTTAATTATGTTGTTATTTGCTCACAGAAGAGTAGGGCCTTTGACCTGACTACTGTAAATCTGGCTCCCTCTTCAAAGTACTTTCTCACCCTTCTAACTTGGGTGAATACGATTTATTGCCTCAAGTGAATATTGTCCAAGTAAAAGTCTCCCCAGGCCTTGGCCCTTAAATATACAAAAACATGAGAGCAGATGTGCACTTAAGGCACTCGTTGACAGTAAGGACAATATGGAGCTAAAAACTTTACAGAGTTCTGAGGTTATAATTCTGGAGTCTTATAAGTGTGCAAAGCACTGGGTTGGTATTACTAAAAGCAGACATACACTGGACACTCATGCTAAGAAGGCCTAAATATGTGGAAGGGCCTTTTCTAGGCTCAAAGTGAGAAGAGATGATAACATTGAAACTCAGGCTACCCCATCCAACTGAAATCAGTTGGCTTTTAGCAGATATTACATGTATCCTGTAAGATGTTATTTTGATCAGGTTCTAACATAAAGTTAGTTCTCATGCAGGCTGTAATATATATTTAGCTCCTTCCATCAGTGGGTGTCAAATCTGGCCTTTCTTTATGAGGAAAAATGTTTTCCTGTGTATGCTTTAATCCACAGCTGTATGTACAGCAAACAGCAGATGCACCTGTCACAGATGGACTGTAGCCTGTTTGATTTGCAGCTGATGGACAGTTCCTGCCATTTGCCCCAGCAGTTCACTGCCAGTGAATGCATGTGGGGAATTAATTCTGTCTTTCTGGAAAATTAAAAGCCATGAATTGTGTGTGTCAGTCTCTGTTGTGTCATAGCTGCAACTAGCATTCTCTATGAAAGGAAGTAAATCTATTGGTCAGCTTCACTCTTCAAAATTCTGTGTGCGCATTAAGGGCAGATTTTGGCATCTTGTTTGAAAAGCTCTGAATAAATAACAAGTTACTTCCGTGTCTTATAGTATTGCTGTTTCCATATTTGCCTGGTGGCAAGAAATATTTTTAAATGGATATGCAGTTTCAGGCATGGTGCTTCCCGTGTCTTGCAACACTAAAAACATATATAGTTTTTAATGAATAATGCATAATTCCAAGTCTGGAGTAAATATTTCTACTACCAGCAAAGTTTAGTGAGACTTGGATTTTACATGAAGGAACAAAAATCATGAATTAAGTAAAGACTGAACCCAGTTCTCTGACCACAGTCCACTTGCCATTTTTGACTGAGCTGTAGGACCATCTGGCTCCCTTCAGTCTCTGTCTAAGATGATCTCATTTTTCAGATGATGCAAACTTGCAGCTATAGATAAGAGAAGTGAGAAATGTTTGCACATGGTATTAATCTATTGGTCAGAATTAAAACACAGATGTCATGGGAAGAAAGGACAGATGATCTTAGTGGTAATTAACCCACAAAGGGGAAAGCCAAACCCATCACGTAGCTGGCTTATGAATTTGGGGGTTGGTAATTAGATTAAATCCCAGGCATGTTATCTATCTATTTCTGGGCAATAGAACCTCAGCAGATCAATCAACAAAACTACAGGTGTTAACTTGCAAAATTCTTCCTAATAAATTGTATGGGAGGGCTTCCCTCATGCTCCAGGGTATTTGAAAATAGGATGTTCTTTTCCCTATGTAAGAAGGAACACTTTATCTGAATTTGAGGTTGGCTTTATTTAATGTTTGTTCCATTTGGTATCCATGTCAGCAAGGGCATTAATAACACTTCTTTTTTTTTTTCCCTCCCTCTTTTCTCCACCTCTCATTTACAGTTATTAAACTCACTGTCTAGAGATCCAGATGCCAACTGCAAATATGGACTCTATTTTAGAGATGGCAAGAGGAAAGTGGATTATATCTTGGTTTACCATTACAAGAAGTCCTCTATGGGCAGAACACTCACTAAACTAATTCATCACAATGATGCAAGTGCTCGAAACACCAAGCTGGATCATCCACTTCCTGGGAAGGGAGCGAGCCTTGACCTGGGAGAAAGTGAGCCACAGATGGACTACCATGAAGATGACAAGAGATTCCGTAGAGAGGAGTATGAAAGCAACCTTACTGAGGCTGGTCTGGAACTGGAAAGAGATGAAGATGTAATTAACCCTTTCAGCTTCTTAAGAGTAACATAACAAGCGAGGGCCAAATACTAAGACATAGTGGGCACATCTACACTAGATGCTACGTTGCTGAAGCAATGTGCTATGGTGATGTAGCACTGGCAGGCACAAACCATGATGCCACAGCTATGTCACCATAGCAATGCGCTCCCTCACTATAGTGCATTTACTATAGCAATGTAGCAGCTAAAAATAACCATGTGCCACCAGTATAGCACAGTACAGGCTGTTACTGCACCATCATTTAGTGCTTCCAAAAGGAAGTACTAAATGACAGCACAGTAGCAACAGCACCATAGGGCCACATGTAGATGCACCCACTGAGAATCTGACTCCAGTGGAAGGTACAGGTATTCAGTGTCTGAGGAATCTGGCCTTTAGTATACATAGTGCCACTGATGTCAGCCACAACACACACAACTGGATCAGGATTATACTGTGGTTAATATCGCACTGGTATGCAGCTCAGTTACTGAAGCAAGATGTTTGTTTATTCTTAACTTTAATTCATTTATACTTCTTTTTTCAGGAACAAACATGACATCTAGGCTTCTGATAGTATTTCCATGATCCAGAAAATAAAGTACCTTGGGCATGTCTACACATTCATTAATGTACCATAGTTACTGTGCATTAAGTTTCTTGTATAATCAAGTATTAAATCAAAAAGGAGCACACCTTTTTTGTGACACTACTGTGCAGTAGCCTAATAATACTGCACAGTAGTGTATTAGCACTGTTTGTGCTGTGATGCACTACTGTACAGTATTATTGATCTACTGAACAGTTAGCATCTTGTGTAGATGTGGCCTCTGAATATTAAGTAAAAATAAAGCTGGAATACAGCTAGAACAGTCTTATCTAATATTTTTACGTATATGAATGGATATCCTGCATTTTTCCATACATATACTGGAAATGTGTAATTCCTACAGCTTCCATAGAATTAGACTGCTTCAAAAAAGGAAAAAAAAAAACATGTTGTGAAATAATTAAGCACAGTAGTGATGTGTTTTATAGTATGGAAGGGATAAAACCCCAAAATGGGACTAGGGAAAGGCCAATGGAGCAGTAATTCACACATTCTCCCTTAGTCTATGCAAGTTCCTCCACACAAAAGCTAATGATTTTGTGGATTTTTAGGTGCCGGACAGTAGAATGAGTAAAAATAGGTAGAGTTCCTTTATATATCATTCTCTTTATATATCATTTCACCTACCCAAGCCTACAAACCCTTCTCCCTCTTCCTCAGAAAACTCTAAGAGTTCAGACACCTGAAGATTTTCCCCCATTTCCCTCATCTTATGGCTTTCTTCTAACCGTTTCTTTTTTCTTCTCCCCTTCTGTTAAAATTGTAACCAACAAAAAAGTTGAGGTGGATAGAAAAGAAAAAGAGGGGTTGATCAATGTCAGTCCTAGGAGACAATGTATATCATCATTGTAACCTTTAACACATCTTGCAGTTGAGTTTATACACCATATAGTACTGAGTATGCTTTTTAAACAGCAAATGTATTATTACACTCTTGAAAAAATAATTTTCATAGAATTGCTAAGTGATATAACAGAGCATGCTTAGTATATACAGCATGCTCCCTAATTAGTCATCTTGCTAAATTATATTCTTCTTTAAGTAAATATATAGTTTAATATACTTTATAAAAGTTTTAAAGATGGGCACAAAATAAAATATAGGATCTGAACACTTCTGAATTTCTGGGAATATTCAAAATAAAAAAATGCACATTTGACTTGAGCCCCAGATTAGAGTAATTTTTGTATTCTAAAATCCTCATCTGAATCTGAAGTTTCTCATTTTGGGATCTCTTCTGGAAACTACACAATATCTCTTTAATGAAATAAGTCAGTGCCCTTGCATTATTACAGCTAGAATGGAATCTGAAGCAACTCTGAAAAACCTGAAAGTTTGGTCATTTTTCACTCTGAGTTGTGTGGCTGAACATCACCTGTAATTCAAATTTTATTGAGTTATGAGCACGTGAAATTGTTGCACCTCAGTCTAACCTCCAAGAGCATGAAATCTGCTCCTGGGAACCTTTAGTAAATGCTCTAGGTTAAGCACATGGATCTAAGATGTAATTTCATCCTTCCATTCTGTTTAGAGATCAGCATTATATCATATAAATCCTTTCACCTGCACAACAAAAATAATATGTTCTATTAAAAGACACTGACTATGTAGAATAATTGAGATGTGTGTGAAGTGCTGCCAGTACAATTAATAGGATAGCCATAGTTCTATTAATTTCCAAGGAAGCAACTATATTTTAATTAAGTGATCCAGAAATATGGTTAAGGTTGCAATGGAGGCAGGTAAACATTTTGTGAGTCTTAGTTGCAGGACCTAAAATTTGGTGCTAAGCACTTTAGATCTGTTATTTGAGTACATATGGATGTATGCCCATTAAATATTTATAAATATACACATATGCGAAATTTATTTTTCTTTTCCCACTTCTGTATTCCTAACATACACTTAAAATACAAATAAATTCCTGAATGTAAATAACAGGAGCCTTCCATGAACTTTGCAAACAACTTGAAACTCTTGTGCCAAGTCATGCAGCTTTTAAATAGAAGGCTGTATGTATGTTCCCACCTATGATATGTAATACTGCTTTCAAGGATGATGGCCTCAGAGTTTAAACCAGGACTCCATGCATAGAGAGTTACTATCCTTTTAATAAAAGATACCAAAACAGAAGAGAAATTAATAGAGATGTGAGAGACAGACATCTATGTCAAATTCCAAGTCCAAAGCTTGAGTGCAGGGCAAAAAGCTGGCTTGAGCTTGAATAGCATGCCATGAAATTATGTTACAGGCTTTAATATTAGTTAAAAGTGAGCATTGTTAAAGAGAAGATGTATATTAAGATGCTTAAACTTGCCTCTGTGCAATAAAACTCATACATGTTTTTTGAAGCTGTGCCATATTGAAAAGGGCAGATATTTATGTCCCCTGAGTAATGAATTTCTGGAAAGCAGGTGCAGAATATTGCAGACTGAAAACAAGTTTTTATAACTATATAAACTAGTAAAGCAGCAAGGATAGAAATATAATACAGAAGTGCTGTTTAAAGGTATACCTTCATTTATATCTAATAATCTGTTGAAATGGTAAAAGATAGGTACAGTTCACTCTGGGGTATTGAAGTGATAAATGAAAAAACACTATTACAGTGTGAATATTTACATAAAAATAGGTTTGAGGAGGGCCTGAAGTCAAGCTTCAGATCTAAGAACTGAGATAATTTCAGATTGATAGGAGCCAAATGTAATGGTTAAGATTTCTCTCTAGTTTGTATACTAATGTATGTAAGACTTAGCCAGCCTTTCAGTAAATACATTCATATTATGAAATATTTGTTAATCATTGTCTGATATTTTCTTTTTTTTCTAATTAAGAAGCTTATCATCTAAGATCAGATTTCCTCATCTGCAAGTTGTCCAGTGTGTTTTGGCTCTCTCTTACAAGTGGACTGTGGTTCTTATTCTTCAAGTTAACTGGCATTTGCAGTAAGATACTACTGAGGATCCTCAACTCTCAAACTTCACAGGAACAGTCCCAATGTGCTTAATTTAAATTGAGTTGCTAAGTACATTTTCTTTGTCCATGGCAATTACCCTTTATTTTCCAAACAGCTAGTTATTCTGTTAGAGAATAATGGTATTTAACATTTGTGGTATGAGCATCTTGCAGTCAGTCAACCAAATAATACACTAAGGGATTGCATCAGAGTTATTTAGAAGTAGATGAAATTTGATTCTTCAATCTGCAATTTCTGAAACTGGAGGAAAAGAAGCATCTTATTTACTACTTCTAAAGCATTGTCTCCTTCTTTCTTCCTGTTTTAGACTAAAATCCATGGGGTTGGATTTGTAAAAATACATGCACCTTGGCATGTCTTGTGCCGGGAGGCAGAATTTCTGAAGCTGAAAATGCCTACAAAAAAGGTTAGTGCTGATTTTTCTTTTTCTCCAGTAGTCACAACATGCCCGTCTACATCAGCAAGCGTGTGTGTGTGTGTGTGTGTGTGTGTGTGTGTGCTGTTTTACATACAAAAAAATTATATAGGGTTTTTCACCCCAAAAGTCTTTTTCAAACATTTATGAATCCTCACAGCAATCCTGCAAAGGAAATTAGTATTATTTTGTTTTTACCTTGTAGAAATAAGGCAGAGGGACTAATTGACTAAGGACACAGAAAGAATTACTGTTGGAATCAGGAGAAATCAAGAGTTCCTGGCCCACTGATTGCTTTCTATGCCGTATTTCGTTCTTTCAACACATTTTGAAAGAGTAGATTGCGTGGACAACAACATTTTTTCTCTCTACCAAGGCCCCAATCCTAAACAGGCCTGTGGGAATACTATTTGTCATGCCAATAGTTCCACTGAGTTCAGGCAGTACTTGTATGTCAGAAACTAATCATGAATGTAAGTGTTCACAAGATGTGGAACTAAATTACCATAGAATAAATTACCCTTCAGAATATTTGAAATGTCATTTCAAAAATGATAGTGTATTTCCATCACAGGACAAAATTCATATAATCTTTGATATATATATAGCTGTACCTGCTCAGTGAGCATAACTTAGAGATGAATTAATATTTAATGACACTCCTAAGTGCAGATCCCAGACTCTGCAGAGAGAAATCTGTAATGGAACAAAAAGCAGTTTCAAAACCCAAAGCAATTTATTACAAACCTAAAATTATACTTTGGTTTGAATATGTATTAGGAGCCATTCTTAACTCACTTAACACATGATTTGCTTTAATTATATTTCCAATTTTAAACAACAACCTGTTTTGCCCCTTGATATTAAAAGCAATGGTACCATATGGGAAAGGGTTTTTCGTTGAATAGTGGAGTGGGAGAGAGGGGAAAGAAAGACAGAGATTTCTCATCTTTCAGTCATAGTCCAGTAGAAAACAGAAATGAACTTTTACCCAGTTGTGCCTAGAAATGAGTTCAAACCAAACCCATTCATTTGGTCACCTTCTACTTGAGAGATTAGATCCAAGGAAGAACTGTGGGGCTCAGATTTTGAAGTTTGCCCTTCTTATTTAGCTTTTAATGCATTTCCAATATCTTTGGTACCACAGAATAGTGGTAGACCCAAGGGGTCTTGGTGAAGAATATACATAAAACTAGTTCTTTTCTACAAGTGATGTAGGGTGCCAGAAATCCCTACAAGATATTCTCATGCAAGTCTTCCTATATATCATGGAGCTCAGAAAAGAAATCCATTCAGCAGTTATTAGGAATAGTCTGTGGATCCTCCAGGACTTTCTCCTGTCCCACTAAGAAGGTTACAGAAGCCACAGAAATAACTTTTACCTTTAATTTGCAATAGTGTTCACAGAGAAACTTTGTGGTTTTCTCTCTAATAAAACCAATTACTTAGAATTGCAAAGAAGCAAGATTTTCTTCTAAAGAATAATTGAACTTTGTGTTTCCCTCAAATTTACCCTTCTGTTTCCAAGAAGGTAGAGCCATAGCAGATTCCTCTGCTTCAGAAGATGAAAATGATAGCTTTATTCCTTATATTTCACCATTTTTTGTATATAACTTGAAGTAGTAAAGTTTTAATTGTTTGTTTCTCTGTTTTTCTGCTTAGGTGTATCAGATCAATCAGGCCCATGGTCTTTTGAAAAAAATTAATTCTGTGATTCAAAAAATAACAGAACCCATCCAACCAAAAGTAGCGGAACACAAACCACAGACAATGAAACGCCTCTCCTACCCATTCTCCCGGGAGAAACGGCATTTGTAAGTGAAAGCTTCATCCAAACATACCATTTTTTATATCAACAGACTCCAACTTTTTAATACATCTTGAAACAAGGAAAGATTAATGAAAAAAAGTCAACCCCTTGAAATCTGCAGTAATACTTATTAAAATTAAGATTTTTTTTCTTTTTCAATAAGTTAACATTGATTTAGTTCATAGTGCAGGAATAGGTTCTAAAAAAAAGACCATTCTGTGATATTTGAGCTCATTTTAGCTGTCATCATGTATTTGATAAAACTTTTGAACAGAGTAACAAATCTGCCTTTTAGACTATAAAGATACATTTATACTGTAGCACTTATCGTTTTACTATGATTCTTTTCAATACAAAAACTAAATATTCAGAAAGATTTGTAGACAGGAATGTGGGTTGATTAATTTAATTGATTCACTTATTAATATTATATGGGTAGGTAATTCATGTTCATACAATCTATAAGGAAAGGGCAAGATCTGAAATCAGTGGGAGTTTTGTCATTCATTTCAATAGGAGCAGGCTTAAGTTTGGGCTTATTATGAGATCTTTAGAATAATTGGAATTGTGTATGGATGCAAGTAAGGGAAAATACAAGAGGAAGAATATGGCAGAATAATTTATGTGTTGAGGTGACTTTACAGGACCTCTTTCTCTGATGTCCAGAGAGATTTAAGATAACATGGCCTTAGTTTACACCTATATATTCTTCCTGTGCTGCCCCTCTCCCACATACACAGACATCTAAAACTTAGCACCATGTACATGTTTATTTTCATTTTTTATGGCTATAATTAGGGACATACCTAAATCACAGCAAGAGAAAGCAATTTTCACAGCTTAGTCACAGACTGAAAAGTCAATTTTGCGGTCATTTCATGGTGGCCCCTCCCCTCAACACTGATTGGCAGAGAGACCCTGGGAAGAAGAGGGATGAAGGGGTGGCTGCCATTTTGACTGCTGGTTGCCTTCCATGTGGCCTCGCCCCTCAGCACTGATTAGCAGAGAAGGATGAGCGGGGTAGCTACCATCTTGACAGCTGCCCTTTGTGCCGGTCTGCCAGCTGGCAACTTCCTCTCCCAGGCCAGCTGTGAGCCTGGGCTGCAATAGCAGCCAGAACCACTATCTCCCACTGGGGAGCCAGCATTTTATTTTTATTAAGTTAGATTTTTTTGGTTGATTTCCTGGAAAATCATGGTCAATGCCATTTTTTTCATGGTGCTTGAGATTGCCATTTTTTAGTTTCCATGAAAATCACAAATCTGCAGTTTAAGTAGGTTCCTAGCTATAATATACAAAAAGGGAGCTGCATGCTAGGTTGTTATGAGGGAAAAAAAATACATATTTTAATTTTAATAACAGTGTATGTGGCACATTCAACTTGTCCCTAGATTTATAAAAAATTACCCAATATATCAATTCATTGTATGAGGGATGTTCAGTTAATAAAATAATCTGATTGCTGCACATCCCATTTCCAACTTGCATTCAGGATGAGAAGTACTTTTCTACCAGCCCAATCTTGGGTTTTTCAGTTTGACCATCTAGGTAATTACTAAATAAAGGAGACAAAGCCCACCTAAGAGGGTTTCCAAAGCAGTTATGGCTAGGTGCAAAAATGACTTGCTGAAATGCTAAACCAGAGTTATGCAGGAGGTCAGACTAGATGGTCAAAATAGTTTCTTTCCTTAAAAATCTGTGAAAAGTCTGTGAAACAAATACAGTCAAATAAATGTTGCCAAGCACTTTTTACACTGAGGAATTAATCATAGAAATCGTAGAGAAGTAGGGCTGGAAGGGACCTCCAGAGGTGATCTAGTCCAACCTCCTGCCTGAGGTAGGATCATCCCTATTCAAACCATTTTATACAATGTATAATCTAAAGTCTTCATAAAACTACTGTCAAGCCTGCCACAACCAAAGACATTTGGGATGGCGATTCCCTTTAAAAAGTTTTTAGATTAATATTCTTTTATATTAGTGAGAGCTAAGTGCAACTACCATCACAAACCAGAAAAATGAAAATTTTGAAGGAGTCGTCAACTGAAGAAAATTACCTAATAAGCAATATTTATTTTTTGTTCTCCTTTCTAATGTTTTAACAGGTTTGACTTGTCTGACAAAGATTCCTTTTTTGATAGCAAAACTAGGAGCACGATTGTAAGTATTGCATTTTTAAATCATTTATAGCAGGATATTACCATTCTAATCTTGTGTTAATTGCTCATCTGGTAGCATTAGTCCAAACTCTCATTACCTCTGTATTCTTATACCAGATGCTATTAATTGTCCTTGTGAGCAATTATTTAAATAACAGGATCAAGTATTTCTGCTCTAATGCTGAATGGTAAGTGCTGTTTTATATGAACAGCATGTCTTTTCTTACACAATATTTTCATTTTATTCTGTTAGAATCTCAGTGATTCTGGGGGTTAGCTTAGGCTAGTGAACCAAGCATTGCTAAGGACTAAGGTTCTAGTCTTGCCATTGCTGACCAGGTCATTTTGCCCCTTGTTGCCTCGGTTTTCCCTCTTGTAAAGTAATGCTGACCCCTACCCCCTTTAGAAATGCTTGTAAAGCACCAGTGAAAGATGCTGTATAATAGCTGTGTATTATTAGCAGTGATGATTATTTTTAAAGAAGCATTCAGATAGGAAGTAAGATTAAAAGCTCTTGGCATTTAAAATTGTTTCAAAATAACAACAAAACTTATATTAAAGAATCTCAACAGAAAGAGCACTCACTGTATTTTAGTCACAGCCACCATTCTCCTTTATTACATTAACACGTGGCATTTGCTGCTGATGTGGTTATTAGTCTGCACAGTGGCAGACTATAAGAACTCTAAGGGTGTTTCTACACATCACTGTTTGATGATGTTGTTATGGTGCTTCATGCTTTGGTACTTCCTTTTGGAAGTACCAAAGCATGATGCAGTACAAGCAGTTACTGCACTGTGCATGCAGTGAATGGGTAGATTTCACTGCTACGTCAACGTAACGGTGTGCTGTACCCCGGGAGCACACTGCTGGGGCAGCATAGCTGACAATCGTGTGTAGATGTGCCCTAAGAATACTGTTTAGCAATTATATACATTTTTCCCATTAAGTTCTTTTAAAGGAGGGTAAGTATCATTATCCCCATTTTACAGATGGTGGAGCTGAAGCAATTAGGAAAAGAGAGGATTTCACAAAGGTACACAATGAATCTGGACATAGTGACACATGAATACTTCCTACCTTCATATCTGGTGTCCTGTCTGCTTGGCAACACAGTCTCACATGAAACTTATACAGGATTTTAATACACAACCCTGAAACTCTACTGCAGGACTGAATGCTATGCATGTAGAAAAGCTGCCACACAAGCCATTAAAAATACCACTCTGTGTGTGTGTGTGTGTGTGTGTGTGTGTGTGTGTGTGTGTGTGTGTGTGTGTGTGTGTGTCTGTATGCCAGTACATCACACTGTGTATACTGGGTATAATACCAAACTAGCCTAAAATTCTAATCAAAGACATTTGCATTACATTCCATTACTTTCTGCTAGTATTTCATCCTTGTCACTACAGTTACATTAAACATTAAAGTCTTCTTAAGGCTCCTTCACAAAAATACTCTCCTTTGTGTGCATGCCAAGTAACAAATCAAAGCATAACCCTATTTACTTAGGTATAGTTGGCATAATGCAGCTTTTCTCTGTGTCAACATACATTCAGTGTGGCTGCAGAGAAATAGAAAATTATAAACAGAGTAAAGTCAGACAGTTGTTAAAATCTCTTTTTATGGCTGTGTTTTGGAAGAATGGTGCCAAACACTGACCGTTGAGTAGTGAGATGGGGAGCTATTGTTGTCACTTATTTTATACAGTGGATGTACATGGCAATGTGCAAAAAGTGCATAGTCTGACCCGAAAGCATTGCAGCCTAACAACCAAATTATTAAATATGGGGCAGTAAGCGTCCACATTGTCTCAAGGACAGTGCAGTTAGAATCAGGAAGCATGACTTGTATTCCCAGCTCTCCTGCCAACCTTTAGCATGATTATGAGCAAATTGTTCTAGGTCTTGGTGTCTTTATGACCAGTTTTGCCCTATGTCTGGTTTACTTCATTTGCATGGTCTTCAGAGCAAATGGTTTTGTTTGCACAGCACCAAACAGTGGTATTTCTCATAGTCTTTGGGGTCCTGAGCACTACCAAAGTTCAGTTCATCACAATGATAGGCTGTCAGTCCCACCTGGAAATCCTAGCTGTTACTGTAACTTGAATAATAATAGGAGACTATTTTCTCTGACACTTGTTCCACTTTCCACTCCCATTTTCCCTTGTTCATCTTCTAATATAACCCGTCGGGTCTCCCCAGCACTAAAGTTTGGCAGGTCTCACACATCTGTGCACTAGGAAGGAAATTCTTGTCTACACTGGTATGATTGTCTCAATGCCACTTAAAGCCAGCCCAATTTAAAGAAAGAAAGAAAGGGAGGATTAAGGGCACAGGATGTGCAAAAAGAGAAGCATAGTTAAAAGAGAAGGAGCAAAAGAATGAGAAGTCCATACAGACTGAAAAAAGGTCAAGGGAAGATGGAACAAAAAGAGATGATAGCCAAGGGTTTGGGGCAGAAAGAGGTAGCTCATTGTTTAATAGCTTAAGATGTGAAAAAGATTAATTCTGTTACATACAGAAATAAAACAGATAGTATGGTGATAGGCCTGTGTGTTTAAAATCTCTGAAAGTGACCTTGTAATATGAAGTAGATCAAATGGTTCCCTTTTGTGCTTTATGTACTTCAGTCTTTATCATTATTTCTTAAAGTCATCTTTTTAATCTTTCAATATGTGTTTTTGAATCATAGTATAAATATTGACCCTTCCACCCACTGCTCAATGAATAGGAATCCTGTCACTCCCAAGCATTGTTTGACATCCAGAAAGCAAGACACAGAACTTTTCATTTATTCCTAAAATATATATTATATAATTGAAATTATAACAGGACTTCACTTCACCCAAACTAGGGAATAACATTTAAGGCAGACATATTGATGGAAGAGTTCTCTCATGAATAGAGAACTAGACTGGAATTCAGTAGACCCCGACTCAGTTCCCAGTTCAACTAAAGGTTTCCTTAATGACTTAGGCAGGTTATATAAACTATCCTGGCACAATTATCCATCTGTAAAATGGAGAAAATGCTTTCTTACCTCACACAGGTATTGCAAACATGATTATGAGGTGCCTACGTTCTAGACCAGGGGTGGGCAAAATACAGTTCATGGGTCATATCTGGTTTGCCAGGCCATTCTTTCCAGCCCGCTGGGCCCCTAAAAATTTAGAAAATTAATTATTATCTGTCTGTGGCTGCCTGTCAAATATAACAAGGTGCCAGCAGTAGCAGGACCTAGGAGGAGCTGATGGCAGGACCCAACAGTGGCAGAACCCAGCAGCAGAGCAGCAAGGACCACCTGGCCCTTCCCCACCCATCCCACCCCCTAGCCTCCCTACTACCAGCCCCCAATCTGAAGGCTCTGCGGCTTCTGGCCTGGTGACCCTTTGGCTGTTCCCCAGCCCTCCCTCCATCTGAGTGGAAACTCAGATAACATTGGATGGAGGGAGAGGGGGGAATCACCTTAATCAGCCCATGCCATAGGATCTTGTCAGGCCAGGCTGGATCCACACTGAGCCATGTGGCATGGAGTTGGTGGTGCCCAGCGAGGAAGTGGGGGGCAGAAACTGCCATGATCAGCCCACATCATGGGACCCACATAGGTCGGGTCGGTGCCATGCTACATAGTGCTGGCCAGGGTGGGCTGGAGCTAGAGAAGTGGGTGGGCAGGCAGGCAGGGAGGGTAGGCAGGAGTAGCAGTGGTGGGTGGGAAACAGCAGCAGCAATGATGGGCAGGCATGTGGGAGGGAGAGTAGGGAAGCAGTAGGTGAAGGGGAGCAGTGGCAGTGGGGGAAGTAGCAGTAGTGGGGGAATGGCAGCGGTGGGAGCACAGGGCCTGCACCGGTCCCCCAGGACTAGTGGGGACTTAAGGTGGGGCATCATGTGTGTGGAGTCTAGGCACAGGGTCCACCTAGCTCCATCGCATAAAGCTTGCCTGAGCTGTGTGCCTCTGGGGAGAGCCGCACGTGATGGAGCTGGCAGTCTGGCCCCGCTCACTGCTATGCACAAGTCATGGGGAATGGTGGGGAGCTCCACACTATGGAGCTGGGCCACCTTTACCCCTCTCCCTGCCACCCTAGTCGAGCCCCATGACCTGCACCGCTGGTTTCATAGCTCAGGGCTCAGTGGGGCTGGCCCTACACGCTGCCACCATCTGTGGCCAGGGATTTGGGTGGGAGCACAGGGAGTTCTGCACTGTGGGGCCAGGTCAGGCTGACCCTGCTCATTGCCACCACATGCAGCTCCAAGGACTGGCACACTCTAGGGGCTCTGAGGACCCACCCATGCCCACACGCATGCACATACATGTATACACATGCACCCCCACCATTCCCCCCAAACACACCCACACCTTCCCACACACGCTCCCACCCCACCCACCTTAACTCCACACCCTCACACAGTCCCCCTCCCCAACCACATACCCCACATCCACCTTCCCACCATACATACCCACACATCACACCCCACCACACACACACATATACCCACTCCCCAACCACACACCCCACTCATACATTCCCTTACCCCTCACACACAATATACAAGAGTAAGACTGTATTTTGAACTATTATGCAATTGCCTCTAGATACACTATGCAAACACACACAAACCAGGATAATCTTGATACACTATGCAAACACACACAAACCAGGACAAACATTTTTAAAATAAAATTAAAATAAATTATAGTAGATATTTTATTTTTTTTAGCATATAATTTGATGGTTTTCCGGGTTCAAGATGGCAGCACCCTCCCTCCCCAAAGGAGAACTTCTGGGGCAAGGGGAGGGACTTCCAGTGGCAAAGGTCAGGGGCTAGAGGTGGGATTTCTTATCCCAAGATGGATTAGTAGCCCAGGGAGCAGGGCTACTGTCAAGGGCCAGGGCTATCCTAGCAGGCCTCAACAGCTCACCAAAATTCATTAAGCGGCCCTCCAGCCAAAATAATTGCCCACCCCTGATCTAGAAGATTTAAGGTCATATATGTACATAGAAGGAACAACCTTCCAAATGAACCCTTTGAATGTCACTACAAAAAGACCTATAATTTACAGTGCCGACATCTATTTGGGCATCCTTAGCATACGTCTAGCACTCCATGGCACTAAATAAACCTCAGGGCTTCTTTTTGGTGTATCAAGGTTTGTATGGTAGATTCCTTGATCGCTGCAGTTCTGAAACCACTCTTTTGACTTTAGTTTATATTAGACCTTTGAGCCAATAAGATTTAGACTTGTGGCTGCACAGGCAAGTTATGAAAATGAATTGGCAGCATATTTAAAAGCAACAGTCCCCTGAGTATCTCCTGCCTATTTAGTCTAAAATGGGGAGTGAGGTTGTGGGGGGAGGGAGCTGAGATTACATGCCAGTACCCGAGACTAAGCTATGGAGCAATCTATGCACCTTCAAAAAAAACACTTTTATTTCCTGCTTTCATGTAAGGGGTTGAACTTGATGACCCTCAGTGTCCCTTTTAATCCTCTTGCTGTATTATTCTTTTGTTCTCTTGGGCAGACAGGATTAAAAGTAGTGAGCCATACAGCTCACTTGCTCATTTTAATGATGTGTAATTTGTCCTGTACCCTCCTGTGTGAAGAATGGCATGAGAGTACTTCATCTTTCCCAGATCAACATAGGGTGATGTTTATCTGCCCAGGCCCTCTGTTGGAATATACAAGAGTTGTTCAAAATAAATAAATACTTGGGTGAAAACTGCATGGCTTTGTTTAATGTCAGTGGAGATAAGCCAGTTTATACCAGCTGGCCTGATGGGGCAATTTAGAGTACAAGCTATTTGTAGAAATGTGCTTTTATCCTGGGATCTACATTTCCTAAAGTTCCTATAAATAGTAATACTATGATAATAAATAGATAAATTTAACCCACTTCCCCAAGCAAATCAAAATCATATATCTTATTAATTGGCAGTTTAGTTAAGTTTCTCTCCTTACAGATACTGGGCATAGAAATAAAATAGTCTAATTTCCTCAATACCCGCAATTTTATAAAAGAATAGTGAATTAATTTACAGTTCAGAGGTCCCAGTATTTGTATTTGAATTGTTCTCTGATGAAGATCTTGCTATTCACTTCCACTGACAAAATACTTAAAATAGCATTTTCCCTTCTTCCATTTTGCTAATACAGGTTTATGAAATCCTGAAAAGAACAACATGTACCAAAGCCAAATACAGCATGGGTAAGGAACAATATCTAGGTCTGAGGTCAACTTCATTTTCAGATATTGTAAATGCTTGCAAAACTGGAATGGAAGGCATGGTTTAGATTTTATCCCCCCGACTATGTTTTGCTTCATATGTTTTGCTTGTATAATAGTTTTAAGATGGAAAATTTGTCGTCTGTAAAGGTATAGATCTGTTATTACAAATAGATCTTGAATTACATTGTAAAATGAGATTCATAAGATCAGACAATATGAAGTCTGAAAAAGGACTGGACAGCAGCATAAAGCAGTATGTAGTACCATGAAGATACGCAGATTAGCTTTGAATGAGTTATCTATCTCACAAACTGGAAGCAGTGTAGCCACATAATGCAATCACTTAGCCTATCTGAGAAGCAGAGCAGATTTTTCTGGCCAGACCATTCTGTTAATGTGACTGTACTGCTTCCAGTACCTGAGCTAGCTTGTTTGCTGTTGCCATGGATGTAAACAATTGCAGGATCAGGAATCAGAATCTAGATCTGGCCAGATTAATCCATGCCATTTCAGTAGTGACCTTAAGTTGTTACTACCTGGTGGCTGTGCATTTGAGAAGTTTCCAGCACCATCATGATTTAGCCAAGAATGCCAATCAGTGCCACTCAGCAGAGAATCCAGGCACTGGAGTGGGCCTGCCCAGGGTTGTAGGATTTCAGCCTTCAGAAGTGTGGATCCAACAACATTCAAGAAAAGAAAAGAAAAAGCAGATCATCTTAGTAACGATCTGCTGACCATATTCACCCTTCAGTTTCTTAAAAGTCTGTTTAACACAGACTATGACATGTAACAATCCACTTAGCTCTGGGACTGAAGTTAATAAATAACTCGTAGTAAGCCAAATCATATATGGTAAAAGGCTCAATTCCTCAAATCCAATCTTCCCCCATAACTGACATTCCACAGAAAGGGGGAAGAAAGGGGGGGGGGGGGGGCAGGGAGGAGGAGAGCTAAAAGGAAAAGTGTCGGGGTGGGGGGAAGATTCAATGACTGCTGGTAGTTGTTTAAATCATTAATTTGTCCACAAGCCTGAACTTGAATTACAGGTAGCTCTGTTCAAATATTGACATATAAGCTGTTAAGAAATCTATCAAATAACAGAGGAATGATTAAGCCAGAAATGTTTTTCATATTCTGACTTTTCAGTTCAAGTAGCATGATACAGTTAACAATTAGTGAGTTCTTATAGATTTGTCTGCACTGATTTCTGAGAATAGACCTTAAGATCATACTCAGCCAGTAGATATGGCATAGATACCAATACCAAACCTGTACACACTTGTGTTGCTTATTTGCAGAGCAAAGCCATTTTAGGAACTGGTCAGTGGACTACTTGTCTTAGAGGCATAACGATGCAGCACAGTACCCAGGACAGCTGTGACATAGGGGGGAAGCAGTGACTTTCAGTTGTCACTGTGCCACCTGTGTGATTGTACAAATGCAGCAGCAGCACTTTTTTCCCACCCCTCTTATCCCCCTTCAAAGCTGGTGCCCAGAGTGGTGTTTCCTAGTTATACTACAGATTTGTCTTTCCTTCTGGATTATAAAGAAAGAAATGGGGTGCAGATGAGCCAGAAGCCAATAACGGAATTGTGAGATTGCTGGCAGGAGACATCCTAATGTTGAGGCCTGCAGCACATAGATAAGTTCCAAATGCAATGCAGAAAGGGTGATATAGGAGAAATGCAGGATCAGGATTGAGGTCATGCCTTCAAGAGTCAGTCTAGACTGACACAAGGGGTAAAGCATAGTGGTTTACAGTATAGATGGTCCACAGGCATGAGGATGATCTTAAAGTCCAGTCTAACTATCAGTGTAACCAGAGTGTATATACCTTAAGTTTACTTAGTTGATGAACTGGCAGAACTGCTGTTTCCAGGAGAGACTGCCAGGATCTATTTTGAAAAGCTGCTGCTAGACCAGTTTCACAGAAGAAATAATGTACTAGCATTCTGGGTAGTGGAACATCACACCACTTGGTGTGGAATCTTATCTTGGAATTAGTTGCTTGCATGCCTTCCTAGTCTAAAATGGGAACAACATTAATGGTCCCTTTAGAAAAGGTGAAGAAAAGGGACCTTTTCTTCTACAACCTCTATCAGATGTGGGCATGGAAAGATTAGAGTGTGTGCCTTGTTTAAAAAGCTTTTGTGACTAGATCTTCAGTAGGTTTAATCAACATAGGTTTAATCTGACCTAAACAAATGTTTGAATCGGAGTTGAATGAATACTGATAGGGATATAGAACATTTTGAAAGTGCTTCCTCAAGGGTTTTGCTGCATAGCAGGAAATACAGAGCAATATAATAAGCACTCCAATGTAAACACTTCTGCTGTTTATACTGTGTGCCTGTAAAATTGTGAATGGTACACTAAAAAGTTTAAAGTCAATATGCAGATGGTTGCTACAACTGCAAATGTGCCTTACCTGTCTGTTATCCAGTTCTACCTAAATGAAGTGTGAAAAGGCCCTCTGTCTGCACTTTTTATTGTTATACAGTAGGATTTTCCAAAGAATAGTCTTACAGCATTGTAGGCATTTCTCGGTGGGTTAAGAGCACTTAATCCCTCCTCCAAAAGGTACCCAATAACTTGAAGGATTGGGCCCCTAATAAATTTGGAAATGCTCCTCTTAAAAAACCCTTTACACCAAAAATATTGTTGAATTATTCTCAATGTTTCTTTATACTGAGTCCCATATTATGATGTCAGAAGTGGATTGAAATGCAACATATCCAGAGAGCATCTGAAAATATATCATTTTTTTGGTTTTGTTTTTTACTTTTCTTAAATTCCTTTTAAACACATTGGCCAGATTTTAATCAAATTAATTTTATTGAAACCAATGGAGTTATGTCACATTAAATCACCTGAGGGCCTGGTCTGAAAAGGTCTAAGTCAACATTCAATATGCAATTCTGCTAAATCACAAACATATCTTCATAGGTAACATGACCCATTCAGAGTCTTGTAGATTGTCCATATTTGGAAGTAGCTATATTAATGCCAGCAGCTGTAAAAAAAAAAAAAAAAAAAAAAAAGCCCATATCTTGAATTATATACTAACAATCCATGGATGTGTGTCCAGCTAAGCAGTCTTTGGAATTCTGTAGCAAGATGAGATTTCTAAGTGCATTCTTCACCTGTTGCATATGTTGTATGTCCCTACTTCTTTTACTCTATCCCCAAGTTAAAGAATGAGATCACTCTTCAGACAGCAGAACATAAAAACTCCTCAGTATTCCCTCAACCCACATTCATTTTATAGATATAGCATTAATTGCTTTCAGGCTCATGCATGTAACTAATAGACGGATGTGTAAACAGGGAAAGGAGAGGGAAGAAAGAAGGAAACTGCACTTTTAAATAAAAGACGAAAATGTGGTAAATATGGTAAGTATTACACAAGGTCTTTGCAA